GGTCCTGCCCCCACATCCACGACCCCGACGGGGCCACACACACACTCAAGTCACTTAGACAGGCACGCAGCACACTCACACAGGTCAGCCAGCATTCAGACAGACATGCAGTCCAGCACACACACACWCAAGCAGACTTAGCAGGCGGGGGAACTTAGTATGGCATGCATTCCACGGCAAGACTCAGAAATCGGCTGTCTGTTTCAGTCCGTGTGATGACAGGTCATAACATTATTCATTTCTTTATTAACTATTTATTATCTTCGAAATTAAATTGTTCGGGGAGGGGGGGGAAGATTATCTTTTTCCTTTTTGATTAGGAGTCCAGTCCACATTGGGACAGGGGACTGTATGTGGATTGTTTGTTCTGTTCTACCCCTGTTCCCACCCTCCCTGCCCTCCTCGTGCCTGTGCACACCGAGAGTTCTAAGTACCACATCAGCCCACGCTGATGTCGACGGAACAGGACACCGGGGCACTGCCACGACACAGGCTCGCAGTTCGTAGCCACACTGTGATACCTCCACGGCCTAAGTATCAGCAACAACGATGCAGCAGGCGAACGGCTCCAGCGGCATCCAGTACCAATGGAGTACCGGTCACCACAGGGGTCCTTCCCGCCTGTCCGGTCCAAGGGGACCACAAGACTTTGGCAGCTTACCTTCAGCGGGTGCAGGCATTCACAGATGCCGTCGCCACAGCAAAGGCACAGCAAGAGGCAGCAGAAGCAGGACGTCAGCGGGTTGCTCAAGAGGCAACAGCCCAAGCTCAGCGGACTGCTGAGGCTGACGCAACGGCTCAAGATAGGCGGAATGCCGCCAGCACTGAGTCTCTGATTCAGAATGAGAGTCAGCGGACAGCACTACTCCAAGGCATGATCTTTGTGCCTACGGACGAGCAGGCGGATCCAACACCGGCGGAGGCAGAAAGGAGTAGCCTGGCTAGGACGAGCAGGCGGATCCAACACCGGCGGAGGCAGAAAGGAGTAACCTGGCTAACTTGATGTTGGGTATGATGAGGGCGGTAATGTGGAACAATACGATGCAGATTGCGCACGCCCAAACTGGACGGCAGCTGAGACAGACTCCGCAGAGAGAATCTGCAACTTGGACACCCACCATCCGCGCAGCAACACAACATCAGCAACAACAGCAACAACTGTTGACATCCACTATCACACGCCTCAACAGCATCGAGGCTAAGCCCTCAGCAGCACCAGGCTGCACGACAGACATAGCGAAGCAGCTCGACGAGCGCATCGACCATGTCGTCACCATCATCGATGACCTGGGTGACTTTACCAGTCCGGCATCGATCAGCAGCACGGTGGCCACCATCAAGACGGACATCACCAAACTGCAGTCAAGACCGGAAGCCGCCGCGAAGACATACAAGATGCCACGCTTCAGCATCGGGAAGTTTGATGATTACAACAAAACAGACCCTTTGGCATGATGGCATTCATTCATCACTGAAGCAGCCTGCCACCACGTACCAGATTACCTGATGATGACAGCACTCTACCTCCAACTTATTGGAGGAGCACAGGCATTCATGAACCATCTGGCGACCAATCTGGGAACCACCATTGCCAACCTGCACACGCACATCACGTGGGAGCAGCTCGAGCAAATGTGGCACACTCGTTTCATGGTCCGGAATGTAGTTAAGGCAGCCATGAACGAGGTCTACTCCAGCTTGCAAGGGAACATGTCAACACCAGACTGGACGATCAAGTGGCAGAAGATAGTAACCACTCCAGGGTTCGACTTAAGTTTCCCAAACCTGCGATCCGAATTCTTTTCGCGATCGTGCACAGGACTGCGGTCGGCACTCGGTAGCGAGTACGACTATGCCTCATTCCAGGGCATCCTTGACCGTGCTAACCTGGTCATCCAAATAGATGACAAGGCCGCCAACGAAAGGCAGTCCCAGCCGCAATATGTGGCTAAGCAAGGCTACCAACGACCGACGCATAACAATGTGGTGATCACTGACGGATCACCTGATCTCCACGCTGCAGCAGCCTCCTCGAGTGATGGAGGAGTTGTCGCAGCGCTCCCGCCGAAACGTCCAAAAAGGGTTCGGAAGAACAAGGCGACACAAGGGACGACAGCGACGGAGACTGGGCAGCAACCATGGACGACGTACAATATCACCAACGAAGTATTCGAACTTCGACAATGGTATGGGTATTGTTTTTAGTGCAACAGTGTAAACCACACTACGGCACAGTGCCCGGACAAGGAGGCAAAGGTACCCCGTCCAGCGAACTCGCGAAACTAAGTTGCGCACGGAGAGGGGCGACACCTCTCCACACTCCGCCGGAACCGGTTGTCTTGCTAACAACCGATATCACTGTCGGGGAGCATGCGTTAGTCGTTGATTCTCGTGATACATACGAGGATTATGTAGCCCAGCTGGTGCCACCATTGGACCAGCCTAGCCACGTGCACTTAGAAAGCGTATGCGTAGCTTGTACACCGTCAGCAAGAGAACCGGTTAGTTCGCCGCTAAATTCCGAGGACTCGACGACGTGGTCAAGGCTTGAGGACCTGGACCCGCTTACGAGAGAGGACTTCTCTTGGATGCCTCTACCCTTGACCGGATCCTTGCCAAAGCCGCATTGTAACGCCTTAATGGCAAATCTACGCTCCTACTTGCACGCTGCAGTACCAGCTCCGTTGACGGACAATGGAGTAGCTGATCTCCGCTCCTATCTTGCGAAGATTGATCACGAGTACGCCACCCAAAGGCAAGTTGAGACCGACGCTCCTTTGCTCTATATCCGCATTCAAATCGGAAAGGCCACCTGCAGTGCCTTGATTGATTGCGGAGCATCTTGCAACTTTATAAGCCAAGCCTTTATGGCACGCGCATGCCTCCGCCCCCGTGTTCGAAGGAAGATGCAACCTACCCAAGTCACACTTGCGGACGACCACACACAAAAGTCAATTAACCGATGCGTTGACGGCGTTCCAATGTACTTTGCGCCCCTTGCGTGCGAGCCGGTGTCTTTCGTCCTCGACACCAAGTTCGACATGATTCTAGGCATGTCTTGGTTGCGTAGCTCCGACCATCCGGTAAACTTTCATGACCGAACCGTTCACATCCGTGATCGGAACGGAGTGTTAGTCCCGTGTACGGTCGTGACTCCTCACACTTCGATTGCTTGTCACGTGGTTTCTGACGCGAGGATTCATGACACCATAGCTCGGAATGATCTAGAGGAGATGGGAGTGGTTTTCCTCCATGCCCTCCCCTCGACGGACGGACCAGCCGCGTCGCCGTGGGACCCACGCATTACTCACCTCCTAGACGGATATGGAGACGTCTTCGAGGCTCCCACCGGAACAGTCCCGGATCGGCCCATACGTCACGGGATTACTCTCGAGGCGGGCGTCGTCCCTCTGCGTGGATGCATTTACCGCATGAGCGAAGACGAACTCGTGGTGCTTCGCGCACAACTCGACGACCTTCTCGACAAAGGTTGGATTCGCCCTAGTTGTTCGCCATACAGTGCACCGGTTCTCTTCGTCCGGAAGAAGAACAAGGACCTACGGTTATGCATCGACTATAGAAAACTTAACGCACAAACTGTAAAAAACGTCAGCCCTCTCCCTCGGATTGATGTTCTCCTTGAGCGTTTGGGCGGCGCGACATACTTCTCGAAGTTGGACTTGAAGTCGGGTTACCACCAGATTGAAATCCAGCCTCAAGACCGGTACAAGACCGCCTTCAAAACGCAGTATGGGCATTTTGAGTGGGTCGTGATGCCATTTGGACTCACCAATGCCCTGACAACCTTCCAAGCAGCCATGACGACGAAATTCTGAGACTTGCTCGATCATACCGTCCTCATCTACCTCAATGATATCTTTGTCTATAGTAGGACGCTTGACGAGCACCTCGTACACCTTCGTGCGGTTTTGGATCGTTTGCGAGCAGCCAAGTACAAAGCAAACCGCGACAAGTGCGAATTCGCCAAACAAGAGCTTGAGTATTTAGGCCATTATGTGACGCTGAAAGTCATTTGTCCCTTAGCGGACAAGATCCAAGCCATCGTGGATTGGTCGAAAACCCGTTGCACGACGGACGTACGCTCTTTCATGGGTTTGGCTGGATACTATCAGCGCTTCATCGAGTCTTGCTCCAAAGTAGCAACCCCTTTGTCGAGACTTCAGTCTCTAAAGGTGCCCTTTGAGTTCAATGACGCAGCTCGTGGCAAGTTCAATACGTTGAAGGCAGCGATGCAAAATGCACCGGCCTCCGTATTTATGACCCCACCCTAACCACCCAAGTGACTACGGACGCTTCCGTATACAGTATTGGTGCAGTATTAGAACAATGCCACTTGGACGGTTCACACCCGGTTCAAAACTTCTCCCAAAAGGTGCCTCTCGTCAACACTCTCGACGACGCTAGGAAGAAAGAGTTACTCTCGTTCGTCACCATTCTCAAACGGTGGCGCCACTTTCTTCTCGGTCGTCGACGTTTTAAATGGAACACTGATAACAATCTGTTGACCTACTACAAAACGCAGGACACGGTCAATAGCACGATCGGTCGATGGATGTATTACATCGACCCGTTCGACTTTGACCCATGCCACATTCCCGGTCCCGCCAACCGAGCAGCGGACGCCCTCTCACGACAGCCCGATTTATGTGCCCTAGTGACTGCGACTTTCCAGCTCGACGACAATCTGCAGCAGCACTTCGTCAACGGCTACAAGTCCCGACATACTCCACGCTCTACGCGGAGCTTTTGTCGGATCACCCGTCGGCTGGTCACTATCGTATCTCCGACGGGTTCCTACTCCTCCACACGGGAGGAAAGGACTTGTTAGTGGTGCCCCAAGATCGCATCCTACAGACTCGCCTTCTCGGCGAATTCCACGACGCACTTTCGGCACACCTTGTCGTCACCCGCACATTGGCCCGCCTCCGCCAGCATTTTCACTGGCCCGACGTTCTTCATGACGTTACGAGGTACATTGAGTCATGTGCAGTTTGCCATCGTAACAAAGGTAGATCTCAGGTCCCTTATGGCGAACTGTAACGGATGCCAATCCCTCGGGCACCGCGCCTCTCCATTGCTATGGATGTTACAGGCCCGTTTCCCCGTGATCGCCTCAGTCATGACGGCATCCTCAAGCTTGTTGACCGTTTGAGCAAGTACGCTCGTTTTCTTCCATGCAAGTACCGTGCTACAACCCCCGAGCTCCCACGACTCTTGCACACCAGCTGGATTACCTGCCACGGTGTTCTGGAAGACATTGTGAGCAATAGAGACACTCGCTTCATGTCAACCTTTTGGACTTCCCTCATGACGGAGTCCGGTTCGACTATGAAGTCGAGTTCCGCACGACACCCGCATACAGACGGACAGTCGGAACGAGCGCATCAGACCGCTCAAATGATGCTACGTACGCTCATCCGTCCCGACCAGAAAGATTGGGTTGACCGGCTTCCCGACATCGAGTTTGCCTATAACACTTCGGTGCACCTGGCAATCTGCATCACTCCATTCGAGTTGCATCACGGTGGAGAGAAAGCCCGAGTCTTTACCGATCTTCTTTTACCACGGGCCGCCGACATCGACGTAGCTTGCTCTCCCGCTTCCGATCGGAAGTACCAGGACCTGCTGATCAAAGCCCGAGCGAATACGCAAAAGGCTCAAATCCGCATGCGGCAACAAGCCAATCGACGTTGACTCCCATGTCCTTTCCGCGAGGGAGACCTTGTTCGGGTCCTCACTGAGGAATTCGTGTTGGAGCAAGACGTCTCGCGCAAACTCCTCCCGAAATGGTTTGGACGATGGAAGGTAATTTCTGCAGCAGACCTTGCTGGCCCTTCCTTTGTGATTGCCATCCCACCGCACCTCCACGTGCACCCGGTCTGTCATGCGTTCATTTTTTTTTATTTTTATTTTTTTTATTTTTATTTATTTATTTATTTATTTTTTTGCAGTTAGTTAGTATGGTCTCCACTCTACGAATTGGTGGCAAGTTTGATTAAAATGACCCTTTGGTTTTCATATAAACGGCATGGCAATTGGTCTCAAAATTAGGGTCTCCGTTAACCTTCTCTCTTCATGTGTCAAAGCTGGCCGTGTATACGCCACCTTCCGGGGATGAGTTTCCGGGCCGACGATCACAGGATCCGCCCTCTATGGACGGACATCAGGAAGTGGACTGTGTCATCACGCATCGCAAGTATGGCAACAAGCCAATGCAATACCAAGTCACATTTAAGCAATGAGCCCCTGATGACACGCGCTGGATCTCCCGCGCAGACTTACAGGCATCTGCACCACTCATCTTCTTCGACTACGGGAACCGGCGACTCGCCAAGGACAAAGCTCGTCCCACCCGACCCACCCAGGTAACGGACACACAACTTCGCCCTCACAGGTAGCTCGGTCTTTTACGGGGGGGCGTGTGTTACATACTGATGCCACACGGGTTCCTTTCGGACCCGACCGCTAGGTTAAGGGGTACTTAGGCCAGCCCAGACAAAGGCCGGACCCTTCTCCCAATAGACCGCATTGAGGCCACCGGTTGGTTTCCTGCAGCAGACCAGGTCTAGGCCCAAACGACATTACCGTTGGGCCTGGCGGCGCTCTTGAGGCTACCGCTCGCGAGTCTGATCTGAATCGTCAATCTTGACGATCCAGATCACGGCGCGGTGGGCAACATTGAGGCCGACCGGCAGCCGGATGGTACTTAGGCCGATCCAGCGACCTTTCCTGCATCTTGGAGCAGCGACATTGAGGAGCGACCGCGCTACGCTATTCTAGGTTCAGCGCAGCGCTGGGAACTGCAGCGCTAAGTTTTAGCGCACTGCAGTAAGGAAGAGCGAGGAGGGAGACTTACCTGACAGCAGCCACGAGCGCCATAGCTCCCAGCAGCACAGTCGTCTCCCGCAGCAGCCAAGGCGCCACCTTGTCCCATCGGGTAGGGCCTGGAGCTACTCGCCATCTCTGCCCATGCTCTGCCCCTCTCTTCTTCTTCTTCTTCTTCTTCAGACTTCTGTTATGATTCTGGTGGTTTGTTGTCTGATGACCAACACTCACTCACATAGACTTCCAGGTATGCCCATACATACACAGGACGAAGGGGAGAGGATAGGAGTATCACACCACACAGGGAGAGAGAACACAACGGAAGACTTGACCATGCGATATGACACGGTACACTGAAAGTGCAATTCACTCCACTCAATCCTCACAACCAGTCATAAAGAAAAGCCGAGCAGATCACATCCAGGAAACAATGAAACGATGATAGTCCAAACCCCATTACACACTGTTTATTAAACTCAGAGTCTCAAATTGTCAGGATAACTTCAGTACTACAGTGCGCTGCTTTGAAATGACCAGCGCTTCACTCCCCAACCCTGATTAGCACTCGTAACACCCCTGAGCCCCTGAAACATCAAGCGCCACCCAAATACAGCCTTTTGAGGGAAGCGCCACCCAAATACAGCCTTTTGAGGGAACCGCCACCTTGAAACAGGCCTCTAAGGCCAAGCGCCACTTAGAGGATGAAGAAGAAGACCAGCGCCACAGTATCTGATGATGACGAAGTGTTGGAAGACTTCCCGGGTGGAAGTCTGCAGCAGCTCCACCAAACCCTGACAAGATGACCTCTAAGGAAGAAGCTGCAGCTATGGCTGCAGCATCACCACCCTGGAACCCCACTCCGGAGGAGGGTCCAGCAGGGCACCAACCTCTCTCGCCTCCAGCAGACCTCGATAACCCAGACCTCTGTCAGCCCCTGCGTGCTGGCAGAGTACAGCGCAGGTCCCAGCTATGGCCGACGCTCCGAAGGTCTGGCTATGCCTGTCTCCTTCCACGCTGAGCCGTCACCACTTCCGGTTCACGCGTAGCTCAGCAGCGATGTACTGGGTACCAACTGCCCCAAAAGCCCTGAACCGATGTGCCCATCCTATCTATCGACTACACTAACCTAGACTCGACCTAGACCGGACTGACTGACCGACCGGTACCGTTTCTATTTCGGCCTCTCGATTTCTACCGGACCCAACTATAGGCTATAGGACCGTCTATCAGAGTAGGCCCTTAGGGCCTGTCTGTCCTAGGGGTAGCCCGGGCCTGCTATTCGCAGTTAGGAAAGCTATAGGAAATTATGTTAGTATCGGGCCTGCATTTTTCCCGAATTTGCAGATATGTCCCTCACGAATTTCCCTCACAGGTAGGTCTCTCGGTTAGCCCTCAGCCAAACAGAATTACGAATCTATCCTACCTATAGTACAGCCTCGACAGAGAGAGGCTACAGGCGACCAAAAAACAGCAAGTCATTGCAGACCTACCCTCCCCTGTAGCGAGGACCTCCGAGCTAGGGGCGTAGGTGTGCAAAGCGCCGAAGGGACACTCCCTTATGTGCTGCCTCATATTTGAGGATATAAGTAACTTGGCAGTCTTCAGAAGTTCCTTGCGTGTAAACTAGCGGTCCTCAGTATGTGGCTGGTGCAAAAACTTAACAAGGTACTTCTTATCTGGACCTGTACCTGACTCATCCTCCACAGATTCCACCAGGGATAGGGGGACCGAACTGAGGAGGTCTGTCTGGGAATGCATTAGCTGGCGTGAACAGCAACAACTTAGATGCATGAAAGACAGGGTAGGTTTGTAGATGCAGAGGGACATCCATTGCATAGGATGGTCCAAATGAATCAGCTCCCACTGTATCTAAGACCTGCCATGGACCCATATATCGTGGCAACAGCTTTGGCAAAATGTCCTCCTCTCGCGATAGTTCAGAACTGAGTACCCACACCCAGTCACCTGTGCTAATAGTAGAAGGACAGTTGTGCTTGTTAGCCTGCTGAATCATAGCCTTTTGGGCTTTCAGCAGGTTGGCACGGGTGCGCTCTATGTCCACACGGTAACGCCTGGTGAACTCTGCAGTTCCAGGTGTCAGCGTAGGGCTAGCCTTATCGATGATGTCATCGAGAGGCTGCCGCGGCTCACGACCCCAGTGCAACCGGTAGGGTGTGAAGCCAGTAGAGGAGTGTACAAATGTGTTATACACAAGTTGTGCACGACCCAAATGGAGATCCCAGTCCTGCTGATCTGGATTGATCACAGGACGCAGCAATTGGAACAAAATCTGGTTGATCACTTCAGCCTGTCCATTGGCTTCAGGATGACGACCATATGTCATATCTAATCTGGAATGAAGGTAATCCCTGCAGTAGGATTGCCACTCATTGCTGCAAAAGCGAGGATCTCGGTCACTGATGATAGAGGTGGGTGGTCCATGATGTGTAAACCACCTGTCAGCAAATGCCGCCTGAACGGCCGGAATGCGAGCCTCAGCTGGTAAGGGGATGAACTCTGCATATTTAGAGAACCGGTCCACAAATACCATAACCTGACGCATACCACAAGGCGTGGTCCTACCAAAGTCAGTAAAATCAATCGATACTGACTGTGCAGGTGCATCTGGGATAGGCAGCATGTCACTCCTCATCTCCTTCCAGAAGAAGCGCTGCAACAGGGCTGCATAAGATTTGAGGGCGCCAAAGTGACCACGAGCATCATGCCACTCTGACATCAGAAGTGTCCTAAGCTTGCGGTCCTGGGGAATGCACAGGCGTTCCTCACCTCTGCTACATGTGTACAGCAGGGCTGAGACTAGAGTATATCCTGGTTCAGAGGCAGGATCATCCTGGAAATTCCTCACAATAGGCCCAAAAATCTCATAATGGGGCAGCAAACGGGCAATGGTCTAACGAGTCCTCTCTCCAAATGAGTGAGTAAAGGAGATAAGGAAAAGAGCGTCGGGCCTACGAGAAAGGGTGTCTGCTACTCGATTATAGCAGCCCTTCTTGTGCTTCAGTTCAAAGTCAAACATGTCAATGAACTGAATGTAGTGGGCAAGCTTGTCATTCAGCTCTCCCTGGGACTTCATCCACTGAAGGGTGGAGTGATATGAAAATATCTTGAAGTGCCCAGGAGAAAGTGTTTCCAATGCTTGAGCGCTGACACAATAGCATAAAGCTCTTTCTCATAGGTTGAATCCTGCAGCTTCTTGGTCTTGATCTTCTTGCTCATATACTCGATAGGCTGCAGACCATTCCCATCATCTTGTTGAAGTATCGCCCCTACACCATACTGACTAGCATCAGTAGTGAGCACAAAAGGCAGGGTAGGGTCAGGTAGCTTCAAGACAGGGCACGAATCAAGGCCTCCTTGAGACGTGTGAATGCCTCCTGACATTCTGATGTCCAAAGAAAGGACGTGTCTTTCTTTGTAAGATCAGTCAAGGGAGATGCAATAGACGAGAAGTTCTGGATGAACTTCCTGTAATAGGATGCAAGTCCCAAGAATGACCGGACATCACGAATGTTAGCAGGTCGCGGCCAGTCCTGAACTGCAGCAACTTTCGTTGCTTCAGGAGCCAACCCCTCTCCAGAAATGACGTGACTCAGATAGACTACAGAGGGAACCCCAAAAGAGGACTTCTCTTTGTTGATCTTGCACTGGTTATCACGTAAGGCCTGGAGGACCAGCGCCAGATGTTGCACATGCTCCTGGACAGAACGACTGAATACCAAGATATCATCAAGGTAGACAACTACGAACTTGTCCAGGTAAGGCCTGAGTATGCGATGCATCTCTGTTTGGAAGGTGCCTGGGGCATTGCAAAGACCGAATGGCATGACCAGGTACTCATAAGTGCCATACCTGGTTTTGAAGGTTGCCTTGTGGACATCGCCTTCAGCCATCTCAATCTGGTGATAGCCAGATTTGAGGTCGATCTTGCTAAAAATAGTACAGCCCTGCACCATGTCCAAGAGATCATCAATGTGAGGAAGGGGCTATGTAGACTTCCTCGTGATTTTGTTGAGACCACGGTAGTCCACGCATATCCTGAACTCACCATTCCCCTTTGGAACAAAGAGGACTGGTGCCCCAAACTCAGATGTGTTGGGCCTGATCTAGCCTTTGCTGGTCAAGGTTTCCAACTGTTTCCGGTGACATCCTATAGACTCGGCCCTTGGGAGGAACCGAACCAAGCAGGATCTCAATCTTATGTTTGGTCTGCCTATGGACAAGTCCAGTAGGCTCCTCCATAAGATCTGAGAAACTGTCTACAACCTGCTGAATCTGAGAGGGACAGGGAGCAATCTCCACGCCAGTCTGTTTGGCATAAGCCACGAACAGACAGGTGTGGTCAGTCTGGCGTGAAAATCGCAGAAATCCGCGAGCACTCATGCAATAGCAGCTGCTGGCCGGATGGTACTCATCAGCGAGCATGCAAGGGCGATATACCCCATGCCGGTTAGGTAGCTCAACCCTAGGAATTCGCCAGTCGATCCTAAGATTGGTGGCACCAAGCCACTGCATCGAGAAGACAAGGTCAAAGGGGACATTAGGAAACACATAGAAATTCAGGCGGTGCCTGATTTCTCCCTGCTTGTCAAAGGACACAGGTAGGCCCTTGGCAGCAGTAGTGATGCCGACTGTGGAAGAGTCTCCAATGCGCACCTCTATAGGCTGTCGCAATTTCACCAACCTCTGATCCAAGTGCAACTTGCTGACTGCCTTGGGAGAAATGAAGTTGTGAGTAGCCCCATAGTCCAAGAGCCCTTTGATCTTGGCTCCCAGGATGAAGGGTCGAAGTAGGATGAGTTCAGCCCTATGTTTTCTTCTTCTTTTCCTGCAAGGACAGGAAAAGATCAGCAAGGCACTGAGCATCGTCCACCTCCCACGTCTCATCCAACTCAGAGTCTTCAAAAGGGAAAGACCCTCAAGTTGCAACTTCAGAAAAAGAAGAACCAGCGAGAGAATGTGAAGATTCACCATCATCTGAAAGTGATTCAGCACTGGTGGAAGGAGTTGTTGCTTCCACCTCTCTCTGCTCCAGTTTTTTAAACTAGAGCTGCCTGTAGACCTACGAGGCATGTTGGGACAGTCCTTCAGGAAATGGTCCCCCTCACATCTCAGGTAAACCCCCTTGTCCGTTCTCTTCCTCCATACCCCCTCCTGGATCCTGAGTGCATGCCAGGGGAAGGTGGAAGGATCAAGGGGATCAGCTGGCCATCGGACGTCGAGTGGTAAAGGAACTCTCTGGGCACCAGGGGAAGAGGCACGTCCCTACTGGTTGATGCTTTCTGGGTTGGGGCTTTGCCCTTTACCAAGCCCGTCAAAACATCAGCCAGGGCATGAACAACAGAATTTGCAGCAGATGATGAAGCAGTCACAAGTGGAGGGCTCCCACCCTGGGATGCTGCATCACTATGTGATCCAGAAGCTGCGGCAGCAAACACGGCACCCTTCCTCCTCCTTCACCCTTTGGAGGAGGATCCCTTCCTTCCTTCAGAAGTTGTTTCCTGAACATGGAGCTTGGACTCCAAGCCCAGGGCTGCTCTGCCAAAGGACCGCCAGTCCTTGTAGCCCTGAGAGAATAAAGCCAGCTGGTATTGCTCAGGCGCTGCACGCAAGAAATGAATAAGCGAATCCTGCTCACTCATCTTCAACCCTGGAGTCGAAGTCAGATTCTCAAAGGTGGAATAGAGTTTAACAAGGAGCCATCAAATTTCTTTTGGCCCAGGCGCAAAAATTTTATCTGCTGCTTTCCTGGCCTGCTCCTTGTCTGCAAACCTATCCTGCAGGGCCTGCAGAAAACCAGCCACCCCCAACCTCTGTGCCCTATCAGACATCTCCATTCCTTGCTTGTTGGAGGTAGATGTGCACCATTTCAGTGCAGTCCGCTCCAAACGAGCAAGGATGGCAGACACCTTGACATCCTCATCACATTTGAACCCACTCAGGTAGGTTCTTTGAGCAGTGACCCAATCCGCAACATCCACCTTTGGGTCCTCACCTGAGAACATAGGTGGAGGTGTCAGCTTGGGCCGCTGGATATCAAATGGTGCTGAGGGCTGTGAAGCTGCTGTTGATTTGGGGGTAGAGGATGGAGATGAGGGTCTGGATTGTGGGAGTTTCTGAGAGCCTGCTTGAGAAGGCCCAGGAGAGGGAGGGGTTGTCTGAGCAGGTGGGATCTGCAGATGGACGAAGAGACGGTCCAGTTTGGAGGAAATATCCTTCAGCTGCTGAGTATGCTCAGCCATGCTGTCCTCCAGACTGGTGATCCTGGCGTCCCAGTTAGTAAAATAGGAATGATGAATTTCATCCTGCAGGAGGACGAATTCCGCTATGTCCTTATTGTACTGACTGGAGCTGCCACTCGTTCTCACCTTCTCTACATCTGCTGTCAGTTCCCGCCTTCTCGTTTCTTTTCTTGCAGACGCCGCCTTCCTCTTCAGCTCAGCCTTTAGAGACTCAACTGCCTTGGCCTGTTGGCGGAGTACCTCCTCCTAAGCCCGCAGTTCAGCCTCTAGAGGGTCAAGCAGAACAGGCGGATTGGGCGGTATCTGAGGCTTCACCTCAGAAGCCTCAGCCTTCTGAGACACTTCGCCCTTCTCAGAATCGACCATTTTGGTCACCCACAATGCAGGTAAATAAAATAAAATAAACAATTAACCAGAGACAAAATGGGAGGTAACAGGGATTAAGGTTTACCTTCAGTACGCACTCAATTACTGTCACCTGCCTGGAGAGAGAAGGTTGGTTAGTTCTGAGCAAGTGAGTGCTCAGTCTCAGCAGACCGCTTGAGGGTCAGGGTCAGTTTAGAGTACACTCAACAAAACTCAATTTCACGATTTTCCCATCCCTACCTTGACACAACAATTGCATGCAATAAATGCAAATCCTGCTTCAATAACTGACAGGATGCAGTCTTGGACTGATTAGTGTTGATTAGTAATTAGACAGAGTGACTAAGTAGGGTTTGACAGGTGTCCACTGATGACCAAGATTCAGCGATTTACAGGTTACCCTATTTTTAGGCTTACCCTACAGACTTCATCACTGTATGACCTTGCAGATATGTCCCTCACGAATTTCCCTCACAGGTAGCTCTCTCGGTTAGCCCTCAGCCAAAGAAAATCACGAATCTATACTACCTATAGTACAGCCTCGACAGAGAGAGGCTACAGGCGACCAGAAAACAGCAAGTCATTGCACTTCTTCTTCCTCAGACTTCTTCTATTTCTTCTTCTTCTTCTTCAGACTTCTCCTTCTTCTTCCTCAGACTTCTTCTACTTCTTCTTCTACTTCTTCAGACTGGAGACTTGATACGAGTTGGACAGAGATCAGTGGTTCGACTGCGGTGGTAGGAGGTTGCGATACTTACCGGATTCGAGACATTGGAGATAGTTGGGAGTGATACCTGGCGGCATCACAGATCGGGCATCTACATTAGGATTCTGTACCTCCGACATTGGTGCCTTATGTCTACGACATTCTGATTTTGTTCGGTGACAATTTGGGCTACCAATCGGTGACTTTCTGGAGTCTATCTCGGTGACATCTGGCGCTGCCATATCTCCCACCTCCATTGTCTCTCCTCCCACCATTCATCTGTGTATGGTTGTATGGGGCCTGAAGCATCGTCTATGTATGGCTTCAGACCCCACCATCTCACGATTGCTTGTGTGTTGAGTGATTGTTGGGGTAAGTCCAGTCAATGTGAGTCAGTCCATTTCTCAGACTTCCGCTGTATACATGCTCATCCTATATTGGTTGCTCTTTGGTTCTGCACATACTTGGTGAAGTGTTCACTACTAAACAACACTGACAGACCGACTCTAGGCCTCAGTAGACTCAGAAAGAGACTTCTAGAGCAGACCTTCCTTAGCCTAATGGTAACAGACCTAAAACCTAATTTACAGACCTAGGGATCAAGTCCTACTGTCCGACCTACAGACTAGCCTAGGGCGTAGGGCAGGTCTAGGGATCGAATCCTACTCAGGCGCTGGGTCTATGTACAGGTATAGATAGGATAGGTCTAGGGATCGAATCTCACTCAACACACAGGTTCAATGTACAGGGTTAGGGATCGAATCTCTGTGTCTGCAATATCGGGTCAACTGAGTGAAACCGTTTCAGGAGTAATCCCTTTCTGAAAAGTTATTATAGAAAAAATGAAACAGCTGCAGGTGGGTCTGAAGGGCAATGCAAAAATAGCCAGATAGTCGAATAACCAATGCAAAGAAGCTAATAGCCAGATCAGGCATTCCGAGAACCGGTGGTAAAAGCTTCAGAGCCTAGCCAATACGCAAGGGTAAAAAATTACTAAAAATACTACAATAGCCAGATAGCCAAATGGCCAATGAAGAAAGACTAATTGCAAGTTCAGGCGTCCTTCGGGACATCTGTTAAAATTGGAAAGATATAGAGAAGATTAGCATGGAAAAAAAAAACAATTGCCGGTTCAGGCAGCAGAGAGCAAATAGTGTCACAAAAGTAAAGCAGCTATGGTGGCAAACAGTACTAACTATGATTCATTTGATCATCACGACAGTCACCTCCGCCATTGACAGGACTTCTGTTGCTTCTCTGTATTCCTTCCTCTCCACAAGCCCTCGCCCCTTTGCATGGAACATCAACCCCATCGCCAGTGCCCTACAGGTATTAGAACAATCACCCTCAACCGATCAACCAACCCCAACCAATCAACCAACCCAAACAAACAACCAAATGGAAACGCACCTGCCATGAGAATAATGCAAGAGCAACTTGTAAACAGGCTAAACGCTGCAGACCATTTCTTTCTTCTTTTTTTGGCTAGATATATTTGAGAGAAATATGAGTGTAAACGATATACAGAAAACAAATGTTGCTAAATCACACAGATGTCCAGGTAGTCGTATCCAAGCAGAGAGTACAAGATGCACCGAGAAACCATCCATATAGAGCAATACAATGAAGTAATGAGCCAATGTTCAAGCCTGTAGGCCACACCAACACAGTATCCAAAGTCGCTCCTCTCTGTCTGGCGCCCAGTGCCCAACCTACTCTGCCCGACTATCCTACCTACAGCTGGTTCACGCAACAGGCTCACTTCGACTCTCGAAGACCAATGTACATGACCGTCAACTCCATAGCCGACCTCTCTTCATGCACCTGGTACATATCTCGTCACCCTCAATCAGACCTTGACTACCCCACACTGCGTCTCCTTCCCTGAAGACCACCAGATCAGCCGCTGTACCCCCTGGCGCCCAGCAGCCCGGGTATGGCCGCCTGCGCCCCACTTCACCACTACGCGCTCCGTCAGCGCCCTTGGCAGCAGTGTAGCATCAAGCGATAGCGCAGCAGCACTTCCGCATTGCCTGCACTGGCCAGAATGCCTGGCCTGGGCTGCCTCACTTCTTTTATGGAAGTGGCAGCCTCCTGGATGCTGCGTGTGGCCTGGCTGGAAGCTTCCAGTAGCTTCCGATTGGGCCTCAGACCCTGCGCCCAGGCCCGAGACTACAGTTGAGGGCCTGGGCCCTTTACAGTTGGGCACGGCCTGAGTCTCCGGACATGGGCCATTTGCTGCATCTGTGCAGGGCTCCCAGGCAGGTGCGTCGGCAATACTGCTTTTGCAAAGGCCGATGGCCTGCTTCCCAATGTATCCGCCCTGCATTGTGTGTATGTGCCCAGGCGCAACTGTCAAGGCCTGGACCAACTGTATGACGCAGCTTTGTGAGGCTCACGCGTCTACCCAACCAACTGCCGTGCTGCGAGAGCCCGAATACCCACTTATGGAAACGTCGAATTTTGCCTCTGACGAATATTCAGGCCTGCCTTCACTTAAGGGGGGCACTCGGCTTGCTGGGGGCCTTAGCCCAGATCATGTGATGTCTGATACGGCCCCTTGAGGGTTTGTTCCTCACATATTGCAAACCACAACTCAATATACTATCTTGCAAGCAGGTCAGGAGCTGCATGTATACAAATCTTGTCTTTTTTTCTTTTCTTTGGATGCAGACCTCTTGCTCCGCCACTTGAGTGCTTTCCCTGCTGCAACCCTCAACGTCACGGCCACAGGTAAGTACCGGGCCTAAGGGCCTCCCAAACAAGCAAGTACCCTTACGGGTCACGCACCCACTCATGCCGACAAGCACTTAGACAGGCACGCAGGTCATCAAGCACACATACACACAGACTTGGAAAACTCAGCAGAATGCGGGAATCTCGGCAAGGCATCCATTCAATCGGCAGAAGTCGGAAATCAGCAGTGTTCTCAGACGGTGTTATGGCGGGTCATGCATTCTCCTTCTTTCCTTTTTTTTTCTTTTTTTTCTTTTTCTTTATTTTTTTTTTCTTTTTTTTTTCTTTGTTTTTTGGTGTTTTTGCTTTGATGGTACTGAGGGAATAAGGCATCAAGCACTACGCGTGCTTGAGCGCCCATTTTAAATAAGCTAGCAACTGTGGTTCTCCGAAATCGGGTTGTGATGACAGCGGGCATCCTTCATATAGAGTGTGACACGGCCAAGGGCAGCATAATGCAGTCGATGCGTTGTGCGGCAGCACGGTGCTCAAAGGTAACCGGACTCATCAAAGGTTGGGGCATGGGTTCCTACGACTTTTTTTCGTGCGGAAGTGGCCTCATCTGCGGCATGGATTTCTTCGTAGATCTGGACCAGGCGGAGGACTGCATCGAGTCGGATGAAGTGGTATAGCACTAACGAGCTATGGTACAAGTCATGATTGAACCGTTGTCGCTAGTAGCGCTTCTTTCCTTCATTGCCCTATGTCTGACACTGATACCAAATGTAGTATTGGCTGGCCTGCTACTGTGGCTTTGCCAATCAGAGGTTGCTTCTAGCGCCCGCACGCAACATCTGCTTAGCGCTATCACAGTCATTGCACCGATTGCCAGCACTCTGACCCTGCGATGCTGGCTGATGGAGTGAGAATCAATTGGCTCCTCCAGGTGGCTGCAAAGCAGCAAGCATACGTGGGCGGCAGTAAGCAGCCATAGCAAGCGCAGGTTGGCACTGCAGTGGTGTGCGGGGGAGAGCTAGCAGGCGAATGCGATTCGGCGGCTCCAGTGCTAGCGATGAACAAGCAATGACGTCATGACGATGTTCGAAGAAGGGAGCGGGAGGAGTTCGATGGAATTGTCGGCACGCACATTCCTAGCATATCTCGCCTTTCTTTCGCTGCAAGCTATGCTTTTCTTCATCCTATGCCTACCGATTGGTGACCCGCAAAGCACGTGCACAGCATCAAGCACGCATAAGGTGCAGCAGTGCAGTGCAGCGTTCTCTTCGCCCTCTCCCCCTCTCCCTCCCCCTCCATGTCCTAATCCCCATCGCGCCAAGTCCTCTACAGCAGCAGGCTCACCAGTTGCGCATTGCTCCCCTATCCCCCCTACTTGTCCCCACCCGTCAGCTTCGCATCCCTCGTCTAAGTCTCCATCCTCCGACGACAAACGAGCATGTCCTCTTTGACGACGCGGCCAGTGGCAGGCGGCAGAAAGGCCACAGGGAAGTGCCACCCCTCCTGTGGATCTGCTGTGAAAACCCTTTACGTGAGAAATGTAGTTCCATGGTCTCGGAATGGCATGGTGCAGGTCTTCTGAATCCTATCTCTTCTTCTGCATCGCATTCTTCTTCTTCTTCCTCTCCCTCCCCTTTCTCCCCCTTTGCTCCCCGGGTGGCAGGGTATGTTTTCACTGAGATCGCGTTCATGGCTTGGCAAAACTCGGAAAATTTGAGTTTCATACTCTTGTACTGGTATATTCGTCCTTCCGGTGTGATCTTGCATAAATGGAATGTCGCAATCTATGGTTGGTGTTACGGACTTCGCCAGGGCTCGATCCCTGGCATATCTTTTGCTGTTTCGGCTGCATCCCGTTTTCGGCCTGGCAGCCTTTTTCCAAACCCCTCCTTTGGTACCGTAGGATTTTGGACAACTGGCGCCATGCTGCAATTCGGGCGCCACTTTCAAATACTGCATTTTTCAGTTCTGCCCTCGGGGCCTTTGCAGAAATGCCCCTGGTACCGTACGTGTCACCGGTACTTGTACCGGCTCCCCGTACGGTACGGGGACCAGTCTCGTAGCAGTTCTCTGCTGCTGTACTCGTACTCAGTGCGACTTGCTGTTTTCGGCATTCGGGAATCCAAGACTTCGACTTTGTGCCTTGCCACTGTGTCTGCGTCCGATCCTCAGTCCGAGTCCGTCGTGTCGAGTGAGTGAGTGTGTGTGTGTGCTCTCACTCTCTCCCTCTCTCTCCTCTCCCTCGGCTCACCCTCAGCCTCACGTTCGTTACAGTTGGGCTTGGGTATGCTTCGTTTTCTTCTTTTTCCTTTTTTTTGATTTTTTTAACTTTTTAAATTTTTTTTTTTTGAAGGGTGCTCATCTCAACTCGGGTATAATATCCGGCCATTGGAATGCCATGACCCCTCCAGATGATTGGCGCAAAGCCATGCGGAAGGAAGGATTGTCGCATGTAATCCGGTTAAATACACATGTTTGGTTTCTCCTTTACCGCCTAACCGGCACGTGAAGAGGCAGAGCAGGAGGGCTTGATCCGTTCTGTCGATTTTTTTCTGCTTCTGTCTTGCTTTGTGGTTAATGCTCCCCCCTTTTTTTTGAAGTTGGGTTCCGTCAGATGACTGGCTGTTTGCGAGGGTTTATTGGTCGCATGTAATCCGGTTAAATACGCATGTTTGGTTTCTTCTTTACCGCCAAACCGGCGTGTGAAGAGGCAGAGCAGGAGGGCTTGATCCGTTCTGTCGATTTTTTTCTGCTTCTGTCTTGCTTTGTGGATAATGCTCCCCCCTTTTTTTTGAAGTTGGGTTCCATCAGATGACTGGCTGTTTGCGAGGGTTTATTGGCTGAAGCCGTTATGTGATTCAATTAAGCATGAGATTTAACGTATGCTGAATCTGGAATGTGAGTTGCTTCCTCTCTTGGATGAACTAGCCAGGATCGTCTATAGGGGTGATGCCTGGGGTAAGAACGTGAGAATATCCACGTTCCTTAGTAAATGCCGATCTTGCCACTAAGTAAACATGCCATACCTGCACGGTACCAAGATACAAGATGCGCTGATGAGCTTTCACCGGAGAAATGCATGGTGCAGTGAAACGCATCGTGACATGAAATACGTACATAAAAACACACACGGGTGGGAGTCCTTCCCCGCAGCGCTGTTTCCGGGTGACCTTGGAAACCGTACCTTGGATTATCCTCTCGCCAGTTCGATCGAGCTCAGCAGTTGGAAGTGGGCATGTTTAAGTGGAAAGGATTACGACATTGAAAAGTGTGTGCTGGATATGGCGTAATGCTTCGGTTGAAGAAAGACGGTGTAACAGGGCTAGCCTTTTTTCCGCCCTCCTTTTTCCTCCTTTCCTTTTTTTCCTCTTCCCCCTTTTTTTCCTCCCTTTTTTTTTTTGTCTTTTCTTCTTCTCCCTGTTCTACCCCATGTTCCCCTTCCTCTTTCCTGCTCCATGCCGCTCTCTCTCTCGCTTCCCCTTTTCGTAGCACATGATACCTCTATGTGAACCTTCACCTCCAATTCCCCACACTCTGTTCCTTTAATAAGCTACCACACATAAAGCACCCCCCTTCCCACCCCCCTCCCCCCCATCCGTTGTTGTTGCGTTTTGTCTATATGCAGAGCATGC